GATCTGCTCTCCCTTGTAGATGTTTTGGGGAGGATCCACATAGGATTCACTTTTGTTTTCTGATGGCTCTTACTAAGAATATGCATACACTCACTGGGTATATGGTAATGAACACCTTTAATCCCAGCTCGTGGGAGGCAGAGGCAAGTAGATCATTGTGAGATCGAAGCCAGCCTGGGATGGTTTACATAGTCAGTCCCAGGTCCCCCAGGCTACATAGTGAGACCCTCCCTCAAAAAAGAAAAAAGAATATGCATACAACTCCACTCAACAGTCATTTCCTAAACGATGAAGATTCATCTTAGCTCAGAAAATTGTTATTGAATATGTCAATGCTGTTTCAATGAAATGCTTCTTCTACGTATGTGGTTATTAAATAATTTTTTAAAAAAAAATTTGGCTTCGGGTGGTTGTCCTATGTAAATTACAACAAATGCCCCACTTTGGTGGGACATGGGTGACTGTGCAGGCAAATATGGAGGGTGAGTGAGGAAAATTCTAGAGAAACCAAAAGGAAACGTTGGGCTAGCACTTTTCCATTTTCTTAAAGTAAAATCCACAGTCTGTACCATACTCCAGGAGGCTCTGAATATCCGGGCCCGTGCTTCCCCACCCGCACCCTTCACACCATCTTTCTGTCTCATTATCTCACTAGCTTTTCCCCTTTTTCTCCTTGGGGACTTAACTGTCACATCACTAGTCTGTTCACATCACATCAGTAGTGCTCCCACTGAAGGACTTGCTGTGAGCTCATCCCTCACACGCACTGGTGGTTGGCTTCTGTGCATCTTGAGTCCCAAACACCACATCTTCAGTGAGGCCTTCATAAGCATAACTGTAGCTACCTAAATGTGCAATCTTCCATTTCTCTGTCTCCTGTACCTATCTCAACATTTGACATATTAAAATTGCTATTTAGATATTTGTTTACTACCTTGTTTCCTCCTTTCTCTCATTCCCCTTACCCTAATTCCAAGAATATAACTTTAAAAAATCCTGAGTCTATTATACTCAGAATATCAGACCTTTACTGCAATTTGATCTTTGCTTCAATTCTGTCACTCAGCAAATGTTTGTTTACTAAATGCATGAGTTCATATCTATTCATCCTATCATGGATAGTCTTTCTATATTAGACAAAATAGATATAGATTTTGAGTCCCTTTTTTCAGTGTAGATGTCACCATACAGAAACAGTCTTCCCTAACACTGAGGCATATCAGTTAACCTTGGGTAATCATTTTCAGCCATTCATGATTGACTTAAGAGAAAGGCCGTGAACGGAGACTCTGGGAACCACTGGCCTCAGAGATAGGAGCACCCAAGAGTGCAGTCTCTACAGGGCATGATGGGGTACACCTGGCATGATGGTTATGCTCCTTGGGCTGCAGGTATTATTCATGGTGCTCAGTTCGTGGTGGTATCAGGGACAATGGCCATAATTCCTGTGATGGCTTTAGGCAAACTTTGAGTTTAAACCTCAAGCCTCACAAGCATCTGCCTCCAAGTGCTGTGAAATAGCTATGATCCTTCTAAACCATTGCTTTTCTGGCTAAACTGTCCAGAATACATTCTACTGTATGAAACGTAAAAACCTTGATAATATAATTCCATATCAGAGATGCAGGCAATACTGTAGTAAAGATAACATACAGTTTTACTTACAACTATCAGTATTTCAAAATTATTAAGCCCTGCTTTTAAGACTCTGGCTTCTTCCCTCTTATTATCTAACCCGATGCTCATCAAATGTTGTTTCAAATTGTCCTCCTTCAATTTTTTACTAGATTACAAAATTTAATCCATAAACTCATTGCCCAAAATCCATAGGCTCAGCTTTTATAAATTCCAGAGAAGTTCTAAGTGTGGCTCCTTTCCCACCAGGAACCCACAGAAAGCTAAAATGTTGGGAAGAGAAGGGATTTTGTAAATGAACAACAGACATCATCTAGTCATGCTGGTCTTCAACCCTTCTGTTCATGGAAGTATGTTAAAGCTCTTGCTCTCAACCGTGTCATCACATTTGTCCTGTTAACTTTCCTGAAAGCTGTCCATATAGGAACTATCCTGCTGTTCCTGTGGCAGAGGAATAATTAAGAGAGTTTAGAATTTGGGCCTCTTCCATACAATGACTAGATAAGAAGAAATGAACTAGGAAGAAAATATCTACACCACTTCCCTTACCGTCTTAATATATACCAGCTCTCTGGGCTGCCATCTTGGAAATGAGAGTATACAGATGGGCACATCTGCTTTCTAGGTTTGCTCCTCCACCTCCTCACACTGTAAGTTTTTATTGCTATATTCAGACATCAGTCACATCACAATTCTCATAAATATGTTCTTTAAATCATTTTGTCAACAAATACACATCGACTGTTTACTGTATAGCACTGCATCGAAACTTTTCTAAGACCTAGACACAGCAACCAAAGCAATCAATAAAGGCTCCTTATTTCCACAGAGCTTGCATGCAATGTTTGCTAATGCTATGTGTCCAAAAGGTTATACACTCGTTAAGATTATATAGATGTGCAATTAAAACCAAAGACTATTAACCTATGCATTAATGTGAACTTAGAGGAAAGAGTTTAAGTAACAACCCAATTACTGGAATAGTTGAACCATATTAACGAGATGAGTTTAAGGACCTAGATACAGATTTTTTAAAAAGAAAATCCAATCAAATGGGGGCTTAATAACAGTAGATATTAAAACAAGTTTTGGGGAGGGAGCCTTGGGGCTTATTTGACTTCTCTTCACTTGACTATGAGCCTATCAGGGAGTAGCTGCACCCCAAAACGAGAATGTGTAATTTAGAGTGCATTAGGTAGAGGACAGTTTCCGTGTGTCAGTCGTACTGGAGTCCTGAGCTGGTTACACAGTATGCAAAGCACAGTGCTCATTCTGAATGTTGCTTAACGTATGGAATATGAAATTACTGCTGCATGTTCTTTTTTTTTTGTTTTTTCTTTTTTTGAGGTAGGGTCTCCCTGTAGCCCCAGGTGTCCTAGCTGTCCTGGAACTTGCTATGTAGACCAGGCTGGCCTTGAACTCACAAAGATCTGCTTGCCTCTGCCTCCCAAGTGCTGGGCCTAACTGCCAGGCCTAACTGCTGCACATTCTTAATTAAATAGGTTTGCTCAAAGACCAGGTTATCTGAACTACAGTTGGACTACCTTGAAATTTTCTGCAAGTAGAACACACACCTAGGAGAAATTATGATGCTTTGAGAATTCACCTTGTCAAAGAATAATTCTACTTTTTATATACAATACTAAGGTGCCAAGCAAGAATGAGAAGGTCAAATTTATAGAGACCAATCAAAGTCATCCCAGCTAGAACTTGATAAGAATAAAGCTGTTTACAGAATCAAAGCGGTTCTGGAAGGCAATGAGCTGGGTTAAAATGATAGGCAATACATCTGCTGTGGGCCAGAATGGAAGTCCTTCATTTTTCTTTCAGCATCAAAGTGACAGTTCTAAGAAGATGTAGGCATCTTAGTGAACGACACAAATGAACACCAGTGAGTTTACCTTCTGTGGGTGTTATTACTATGAGTCTGCATCTCTTGTGGCCTCAGACTTACCAAAAGTGAATTCTCAGAGAATGATTTCATTCATCTCAGCAGTGAGTAAGGGGATCTCTTCCTGGAGTCTAGATCCTGTTCTAGCCAGCAGCAAATGTTATTTAGACATATTCAGAAAAAGCAGTGATCTGTTTGTGCCTGTGGATTCTGGACCTCCGTCCTGTGTCCTTTAAACTCTTGATATGGGAATAGGACAGTAACAATTTGTAAATCAAAGAAAGAAAATCACAGAAGCAACAATTCCTAAAGTCCTGATGTTTCACAGATTAGTAGCCTGCCATTAAGAAAGAGTAGGGCACTGGGTCATGGAACTGGAGCCATAAACATTATCAGGTAACAGTGAGTTTCCTGGGGCCGCAGAAAGAAATGAGCTTGTTACTACTTCTGGTATTAATCATAATAAGTGTTTTATCTACGCCTGTCATGTTTAGTTTTGCCGTTCAATTTGCCTCTCGGGCACACTGTTTGCAGTATCAGCTGGCCTTATCTTTTAACTTATAGTCTTCAAGTGCCTAAATGTATTTCCTCCAACGTTCCCACAGTTAACATGACAAAGTCAACATAAGTGCTATTTTAAGGCAATGCTGCACTGCACTGTGAAAGACAGAGTTGCTGGAGCTCGGCCACTCCTGTCACCTGTTGAAAAGCTGAACAGATAGCACTGATTCTTTGCCTAATTGCAGTTTTGCTGTGAGATCAGCAAGATTTTAAATATGGAGCCCAAGTATGTGCATTAATACAGTCATTTATCTCATCTGCTACCTTTGCCAAAGAAATAATATAGAGATCTGCTTGTCCCATAGCCTTCCCATCATTTATCACCTGACACTCCTTAGTCAATGCAATCAAGCAGCTTTGGAGGGTCCGGAAGATGAAGCTCAGCTTCTACAAATTATAGATTACCAGAAGGGTCAGAACCAGCCAACGAGAAATGCACACCAACAATGCAGAAGTGGACGCGTTAACAAATACGCCTTGAGGGGAAAGTGGGTATCCCTTACAAACCCAGCCCACAGTTCATACAGATGCTGTATGAAGATGTTGCCCTGGAGGGAAGCTGCAGCTTGATTCAGGCAGCTAATGATATTCTACTTTGCACAACCCTATTTCATTGTAGTCCTCTTATGATCTGCTAATAATCCTTTATAATTAAGCTGGCAGGATAATATTAAAATGTAATCCACATGAACACCAATCGCAATGTCTTTCAAGAGCTGAAGTGGTTATCACTTCCAGCCATGCACGACAATCACTGCATAGCTTTAATTTCACATTTTTAAATGGTTTGCCCCAAGATTTAAAGAAAGTTTATGATTAATTTCTACTCACAAATGCAGTGAAATAGTCCTCATTTAAGCCAATAATGTTAAAAGTTTGACCATGGTATAGGTCTTGTGAATTCATGTTTTACCTTCTTTAGAACTGAACATATCTGCCGCGTCCTCACAGAAGAGAGATAGTGGACCTTGGGATGTTTACAGTGAATGAAGCTGGTCAGATTAGATAAAGCAAAAGGGCAGCATCGACCAACACGATTCCTGATTACTGTGTATGAAATGAAGCCTCCTCCACACTTCACTGTAATACTTCGAATGTTTTTATTTTCTCTCTCAGCATATTATCTTCCTCATCTCTTGGAAAACTCAGTTTCTCTCCAATAACTGAATAGTAATTTGAACCAAATATTAATTACTAGAAGTAACACATTCAAAACATATTACTTTAGTTGATCTAGTTTTATATTCTACTACAGCTTGGTCATGACATAATCTAGTTCATAAAACTACTTCAGAGAATTGTTTTTAGAACACTATAAATATCGATGTCAGAGTTAATACATTTTCTTAGAAATATAACAGACAATTTATCCTTGCAATACTTTCTACCTCTGCCCCTCACATAGAATTGAAGGAATTGGGGTGATGGAAGTATTGTTCCAATTAAAGGCACTTTGTCTCAAGCAAGAAAGAAAATGGTCAATTCTTGTATAATCTTTTAAAAGATGTTGTTTCATTTATAATATACAAATAATGAAGTATGCATGCAGATTGTTCTCAAAGTTGAATGTCATTATAGATTAGGAAAATAGCATGTTATCAGATACAATATAATGCTGTTAAGGGTGTATTTAGACTCATAAAGTGCTATGAAAAGACTTTTCCAAGTATCAGTTTGGGGTGACTGTAATCAGTTTATCAAATTTAAACATTCAATTTATTTATCTGTTTTTAAGCAACAGCAATAGACATAGTTCAAAAGGAATGACTTATAGATACCATTTAAGACATCTACATGGTTACATCAGGGTCAGTGGTAATGATGCCTTTGAAAATTTTCTAGGAATTATTGAAAGACCGCACTTCTACTTTATGGATGTATTATATAATATAATCCTAAGTACTGAGAAAAACAGGGTAAGAAATATTAAAAGTCACATTTATTATATGCTAGCTACATGCTAGGTACTGTAACAAGTGGTGATGCCAGGCAGAAGAAGGAGGAGGAGGAGGAGGAGGAGAAGAAGAGGAGGTGATGGAGGAGGAGAGGACAGAGGAAGGAGGAGAGTGGAGGGGAGGAGAGCACAGATGCAGCATCCAACCTCAAAGAGCTTTCATTCTAGAGGTCTAGATATGTAGGTGGGTCAAGAAGAAAAATGAAGAGAACAGGACAACAATAAAGTATGCACATGACAAAGAACTCCCAAGCAAGTCTTTGAGAGAGCAGACAGAAAAGGCAAACTCAGGACTAAACAGCTGACATTAGAGCACAGCAGGAGATGTGAATTGCTGTGGAGTCCATGAAGCCCACAGACACAGTCAAAATAAAATAAAATTTCATTTTATTTAAAATTTTAAAATTTTATATTTTGTGCCTGACTATAAATCAAGGTAGTTGACCAACCCAACTCAATGTGTGATTTGCCATCCTTATTATAAAAGTCTAAGACAGAGTCAATTGTGGTATATGTCTGTAGCAAAAGAACAAATCAAATTCACTAACTACCTAAAAACAGCAAGTAGATCCAAGAGAGGACCTAGAGAGGCCATCAGACACAGGGTAAGACCAAACTGAGTCTTGACTAGCAAGGATGGCTCAGCTCATGGAAATCATGACCAGTGGGTGCTATGTGGTGTGGTGGTGAAGAGCCTAGGCTGTAGATCTGCCATGCCTGCATTCAAGCCCTCGCCTGCCGCTCTCCAGAGCCATAGTTCAGGCAACAGCTCTAATACCAACAATAATGAGTAGTTTCCTTATATGCAAAGTCGGTTGTTTAAAAGATCAAATGACAAAGACACTTCTAAATTACTAAACTGTTATAGCTACATACAAAGTATGAGTCTCTGTCTTCTGATCCTATCAAACTCCATTCCGTATTTCACTGTCCCTCTCTATTTTGTGTGAACGAAAGGGCAAGATGCGCTTGGTCACCAACAAAGCAGTTATTTCTGGCAAGCGTTGCCCTGCATTTCAATACTCCTGAGACTATTGTGGAAGACGCAGCAAGACAGCGGTACTAGGCTGTGTGCTGTTGGGGCAGCTCTGGCTGGCGCCGCACTCTTAAGCGCGTGTGCTCGTCTGCTCGTCAAGGATGATGACTCACTTGCCTCATATTCCTTTACCTCCCAGGAAACGGATGATAATGGAATGCTTCTCAATAGAAGCAAGGTTTTCCTTCCCTGCTCTTCGGAGTCACAGTGAAAAGGCAGGATGCTGGAAAAGTAAATGGAAAGAAAATGAGCAAAAATGAAAGTACAGCAAACTCCGTCAGGTCTTTCAGTCCCTACTTTACCTCTCAGCCACGTTGTAAGCCCCCGTGGACCACGAGCGTACACTACAGATAGGGCCAGAACCCTTGTCATTTGACCCTTGGCTTTTTCGGCTGCCCTGCCAGGTCTTCCCAGGCTCCAGGCCACTTGGCACTCACTTCTGCCCTCCTGCCCTATCTGAGCAAATTCCTTCTTTCCCTAAGGACAATCTAGCAAGTAGATCCAAGAGAGGACCTAGAGAGGCCATCAGACACAGGGTAAGACCAAACTGAGTCTTGACTAGCAAGGATGGCTCAGCTCATGGAAATCATGACCAGTGGGTGCTATGTGGTGTGGTGGTGAAGAGCCTAGGCTGTAGATCTGCCATGCCTGCATTCAAGCCCTCGCCTGCCGCTCTCCAGAGCCATAGTTCAGGCAACAGCTCTAATACCAACAATAATGAGTAGTTTCCTTATATGCAAAGTCGGTTGTTTAAAAGATCAAATGACAAAGACACTTCTAAATTACTAAACTGTTATAGCTACATACAAAGTATGAGTCTCTGTCTTCTGATCCTATCAAACTCCATTCCGTATTTCACTGTCCCTCTCTATTTTGTGTGAACGAAAGGGCAAGATGCGCTTGGTCACCAACAAAGCAGTTATTTCTGGCAAGCGTTGCCCTGCATTTCAATACTCCTGAGACTATTGTGGAAGACGCAGCAAGACAGCGGTACTAGGCTGTGTGCTGTTGGGGCAGCTCTGGCTGGCGCCGCACTCTTAAGCGCGTGTGCTCGTCTGCTCGTCAAGGATGATGACTCACTTGCCTCATATTCCTTTACCTCCCAGGAAACGGATGATAATGGAATGCTTCTCAATAGAAGCAAGGTTTTCCTTCCCTGCTCTTCGGAGTCACAGTGAAAAGGCAGGATGCTGGAAAAGTAAATGGAAAGAAAATGAGCAAAAATGAAAGTACAGCAAACTCCGTCAGGTCTTTCAGTCCCTACTTTACCTCTCAGCCACGTTGTAAGCCCCCGTGGACCACGAGCGTACACTACAGATAGGGCCAGAACCCTTGTCATTTGACCCTTGGCTTTTTCGGCTGCCCTGCCAGGTCTTCCCAGGCTCCAGGCCACTTGGCACTCACTCCTGCCCTCCTGCCCTATCTGAGCAAATTCCTTCTTTCCCTAAGGACAATCTGGGTGCTGATATGCTTTCTTCCACTACTGCAAGCAAAACGGACACTGTCCTTCAAATTCCCATTTTACTGTATCTATTTATTTATATCCTACTTCTTCATAATTCATATTTATGTCAACTGCAGGCATCCATTTCTATGATGATTTTAGAGGCTTCTATTATTTGCCAGTCATGTGCTCGTTCTCGAAAATAAAGTTCACTAAATACTTCACTTGGTTTATTTTTAGGTGTTTCTATATTTTAAAAGTATTTGACTGGAAAATATTTGAAATAAGACCTTCAAAATGTTTAATGGCTACAATTTCCAAATAACATCGAATACAATTTTAAAGTGGCCAGTTAATAAATACCATTTCCTGAATAACTCCTCCGGTCACAATTCACCACTAACGGCTCCTTTAGCTCAGTAGTCTATTTAAAAGACTTCCTGGTATATTTGTCTGCCTTTTCCCAACAGCATTAGTGATACATTTAAATTATTACATCTATACTCTGTTTTACTACTTTTTATGAACATGGATATATTTTTATATCATTTTAATATTCTAGATAAGTTTAGAATTATTTATTGAAATAGACACCAAGAGTCTATGAGGTCTCTTCAATATTTTGGTTAATTTGGTAAGAGGCTCTCTGTTCAGTGACTTATAACATTTAGGAGAGGCTAGAACTTTACACTATGTACATTCTGCCTCATTTCTAAGGTATTAATGCTGCCTTTAAGGTCCACACAAACCAGTCTGTATATCGCGGTCAATCCATAGGTAACACAGAACATATTTTCTAAGTATCAAGACATTTCTTTCTAATTTGTTGCATATTAAGCTGCAAACAAAGAGCAAGAAAATTTTAAAAGTAGAAATTTCATGGCCATGTTTGGTGATGATAATTTAACAATCATAAAATAAAGGTAATTGCTAAAATGCAAAAGGGTAAACACTTGGAATATATAATACAAATATACTTAACACATACAAATGTGTTATCATCTGCATAATACTATGTATTTTCTATGTAAAAGGCTGTAACAAATAAGCTTCATAACTAAATGGAAAAGTGAACAATGGTAAATAAACAGAGAAGTAAGAATAAAAACAAAATGGCCAATAACTCTAAAACTTTATTCACTCTCAAGGAAAAAAGATAAAAATTCAAATAATGTGTGTGTATGTGTATATATATATATATATAAATTTTTCAGATTCTAAAGAAATAAAAAGAATGAAAGGAGAGCTAGTGGAACAGACTTGGAAGCTAATAGTCATATGCAAAGGAAAAGAAAATGTAAACTGATGTACTCATGTGGAAGATGAGCACAGCATCTTCATGCATACATAAAGTTTTAAACACAGATATTACTTTATTCATTACTCCTCTAAGAAATCTGTGCTAAGGAAATACCAAATATGGAAAGTCAAACATATACCAGAGTAATAAAGTAGTGAAAAATTGAAAGCCATCTTCTCTATCCCAAAGGAAACTAGTTGAACATTTGTTGAATCATCTATATTTGTAG